CTGGCCACTACCCTCGACCTCCAAAACCAAGCGGGTCTCGACCTGGGTTTCGAGGCGGGGTCGCCCTCGAACGCGGGTTCCCCAGGGGGGGACATCGGCCTCTCTCAACTCCTCAACGTCCCGGACTTCGCGTCCGAAACCCCTCACGCGGGCGGGGAGGACACGGCCATGGAATTCAACCCCGACGAGACCAAGGACGATACGAACGCGTCCTGAACGTGGACGCCCCGCCTGCGCACCGGCGCGGTCGTCCAGGAGGGCGTATGTAGCGCCCGCGTCACGCGCTACTTCTCTTCTCTCCCTTCGTACCTGATCGACTCCGTGCTTCGGGATTGTCTCTCCTCGATCTCTCAGCTTCTCTTATCTCACTCGTATCTAGCCCGAGTCTTCCCGAACCTTAGAGCTGTTATAGCGCCCATGAACCGTATATAAACCCAGATCTGTATGTACAAACTGGAGCGTTCAATCGAGATACTCATACCCTGTCTATCCCTCGAGCGAACCTCTCTCCCTCTCGTGACGCGCCACCTACCCCTTCGGGCCAGCGAGCGCGTCACGGAGCGTCCTCTTATTAAAGCTCCGCTCACGGTCACCGTATCACTTACCGACAATAGGTGCTCTCCAGCGGTCCATGTTCTCCATGAATGATCTCGCGAATTGCCTGCATCCCTCGCCTCCGGTTCCATCCCCCGTGCAGTCCCCGACTCCCCTGCGCTTCCATGGGAGGTTATCGAGAAAGTCATCGACTGCTTCTCCAGCGACAAGGCTACGCTGTGTGCTTTCGCTCTCACCTGCAGCCAGCTCCATCCTCGGAGCCTCTTCGTTCTCTTCACGAATGTTGACCTCCGTAGCATGAAGCAGCTCGAAGCGTTCTATCATGCCGTCCAAGCTCAGTCGCACCTTCAACCTGTCGTGCAATCTCTGTCGTTTCCGTGGGTCGGGGAGGATATCTCTCCGTTCCCCCTGCTGTCCATCCTCCCCGGTCTCCGTCATGTCACGTTGAATGGGATCTCTCCTGTCGATATTGACGACTACCTGCCTAGCCAGTCCACTCCACTCTGCGGCTGGCAATTCGCGACTAGCCTCCTGAACCTGACGATCCGCTCGGCTCGGTTCCGAACACGAACCGTTTTCGTTCATTTCCTTTCGGTCTTCCCGAACGTCGAGAACCTCACCTGCGAGCGTCTGTATCTGGAGATGCATGAATATACTCCAATGCTACAAGATCGTTCCTCTTGTCATTTACAGCTGCGAACGCTGAATGTGAGGGTCGACGTGGTCATCTGTGCTCCTCGATTTCTAATACGTTGAGACTGCTTCCAGATACTCCCCGATGTGGACGATCAGGTCGCTGAGCTGTTGGTCCACATAAGTCGACACGCGACTACCTCTACGCTCGTAATGGGAGAACGTACTCGTGCGCATCTCATTCCATTTCCTAATTGTATTCTCCTTATAATTCAAAGTTGAAGCCTCGTCTATGCCGCGTCCTCAATTAGGCGAGGATCTCCAGCCCTCCCTGATATGGTGGATACGAGCCGAGACCGAGAAACTCCGTTATGCTATTCAAATCTTACGCGCTTCGGAACAAACAGCTATAGGCGATGTCACTCTGGTCATCTGGGATAGCGAGGTTGGAATTCTATACAGTCAATGCCGTCGACCTGCTGTCCTGGAGCTCTGTGCAACATTGGACAAGGTCCTGCTCAGATATCCCTCCCATCGCGTCCTCTTGACCGTTCTCGAAGGCCTAATCCTGAATGAACAGAAGAAGATCTCCTGGTCGGACGAGTTCCGCAGGTGGTTCCTTCCGATAAGCGAGAAATGGGCGCTGACTGAAGACATCAAATACTGTGAATCCCGTTGAATAAAAATACCTCCTAGCCGGACGTTGACTTGAGTAGCTGGTCAACCCGGGCATGACTCACGCGTCAACGCACTTGTCATCTCGTCAGATGGGTGGTGGGTAGCGACGGCCTCCTTCTCGGATTCCACGATCATCCTCTGGGATGCCCGAAATGCATGTATCTTGCAAGAGTGGTTTGCCCATGACAGACAGGTCTTGGATCTCGCGTTCTCACCGGGCGGCATACACCTCGCGTCCGCAGGTAGTGGCGGGAAGGTCGTCATATGGGACATCAGCCGTGACCGCCCGCACCAAACGGCTACCCTTGAAGGCTGTACTCTGGGTTACATCAGAGGCTGCGCGTGGTCGGGTAACGGTGCATACATCTCGTCCCGCGACGGCGAGAACACTGTACGACGGCCGATCATTCCAGCTGCTACAGGTCCTTGACGGAACAACAATCATTGACCCCCTGTTCTCCCCCAACAGCCAGTGGTTTCTAGTCCACCATCCAGACAGCTGTGGTGTTTGGAAACTTCCGTCCCGCGCATACATGTCACTCCAACTCCAACGTCAGCAAGATGGCTCGAACAACTATCCCGTCACAGCCAGATTCAGCCCGGAAAGTACATGTGTTGCTGTTGGATATACGAATGGGGTCATCCGCGTTTGGAACATGGAGACCAAACAGGAGCCTCTGCTCTGGGAGGCACACAAAAATGCAGTTCTCGACATGGCCTTTTCCCCGGATGGTCGGCTGCTGCTCTCGACGTCATACGACCGGACAGTAAAGACATGGAATGCACGGAATGGTGCCATGGTCCATTCACTCGAGGGGCACGAGAAATTTGTGTCCGGAGCGTGCTTCTCCCCGTGTGGGAGGTATATCGCCTCTGCATCTGGTGACAAGACGGTGAGGGTGTGGAGGGCTAGCGACGGGTCGTGCTTGGCGATTCTCTTCGAACATGGTGCTCGGATCAATCATGTTGCATTCACTCCAGACGGGATGATGTTGTGGTCTACAGGATGGAATGGGACAGTCTTCGGTCGTCGAGTACAGGACATCATCCTGGACGACTTCGAATCGAGTCGTACAGAGGAATGACTACCACTGCTCCGCTTTGCTTCCCATATGTCTACATACATGCGAATGTGTATTTGTTGAATGTCCGTACAGCCCCGATTGATAAACTCGGGGCTGTGAAGACAAGGATTAGATCCGACTAGAGTCGAAGCAAGATCTTCAGTCAGTAAGGAAAGACTATATTGCAGCAACGAACTGTACCTAGAGTCGAAGCAAGACTACAAAGGTTAAGTAAGTAACTACAAGTTAGAGGTAAAGGTAACGAAGTACTCACTCTTCAGTCAGTAAGGAAAGACTGAAGAGGGAGGACGCAATCTGAAGTCCTTATATACTACAGAGAAGTGTCCATGACTAATCGAAGAGTGGTTAGTCACATGTACCATAGTGCGATGAATAATACAATGGTGAAAGAATTGCGACGTATCGCACCATAGGATGAGTAAGAGATGAGTAAGGCATAGACCTGTCTAGACCGTTCTGGAGTAGTACGGATTGTCCTAGACAGTACCAGAAGAGTCCGGAAGCATAGCTATAGTACACGAGCAGAGAGTCCCAAATATGGTAACATACTACATCAGCGACTACAGCTAAGCGCTAGGAGACGCATAGCCTCGTGTAGTCCGGACCGGATAAGTCCAAGTTCAACACCGATCCCGCATGCGATAACTTGTATATGCCATTGTTCGTTAGTCCATTCCCCTGTCGATTATGTAGAGCCTTGTAGAACAGACGCTGCCAGAAGTATCTAAGATTTGAAAGCAGGCAAGTGAATGGCGACGGACGGCCTGTGCTTGGCATCCACTGCGGTTAGGGAGGAAAATCCAACGGACTCAGCGTCATTTTGTTTCGGAGAGTATAATGACCACGAAAACACACACGAGCACTCACGAACGTTCGGAGAGCGGGCCGCCTCTGCCCATTGTGTCGCCGCGTTCGACACTCGATTTGGACATCGCGCCCCCTACAGGGCTCCACACTGGACTTCAAGAGACTCACTGGCAGACTTCCACAAATTTCATGAAAGTGGATTTCTGCAAGGTAACGTCGCAGGTTATTCTACTCGAGCTATCGCAGTCGTTCAGGCATATCCACTAAACATACGATCCGTGGCAACAGCGCAACTTGTACGAAAACATTGATTAGACCCTAGTTTTGAACACCTTCCTCGTCCCTCTGCCCGCCATCTGATGCTTCTGCGGCTCCAGCAGAAACCTCAAGACCTCCTCGTCCATCGCCCTCCTACTATCCGCCCCAAACTCCGCCACGCGGCTCTCGTACGTGCGAATCCCCCAGTACACAGCCGATTCCCAGTCCGAGTGGAACGCGCATATCACCGCCGCGTCATTCGTGAAGTCGTCCTCGTCCGCATCGTAACCCTCTTCTTTCATCAGCCGTATCGCCCGGGCGATCGCATTCAGCCGCGCCGCTGTCTGGCTTGGGGGAAAGTGGGGCACAGTGTCCCAAAGCTGCGTCAGCTCCTGTCTGCGCCTGTCGCTCGCCGCTTGCTCGGCGGAGGGAAGCGTGCACGACGTGCAGGAGTACACAAAGCCGAGCATGCTCTGTAGCCGTGCTTGGCGCTGCGCCTTCGAGCTCCCATAGATGTTCCGCCCGGATATGTACGAGACGAGGATCTCTTCGTCTTCGCTGATGGATCGGAGCGCGTAGATGCGGAACGTCTTGCTGGGGGCGTACCACGAGTACCGCGCGTTCGGGGTGCAAGAGTGGTTGAAGCGCGACCCGCGGAGGCAGAGCACGGACGAGTCCTCCCCAGCGGCAAAGGCGTTCGTCCGGTGTATGCCGACGAACGAGTCATCGAAGCGATCTGGGAAGTTGTTATGGAGCAGCGAGAGTTCGGTGCGTTCGTCGTCCGTGAGACGCGACACCGCAGCAGCGATCTGCCGAGGAGACGCAATTTCCGAGACGGTATACAGAGGCTCCTCGACAAGGACGAGCTCCGAGCGCTCGAAGCTACGTGTCGCGAATGCTCCGACGCCGTGGTTGCTGGTATCCACGAATTTGAACCCGCAAGCCGGCGAGTCGACCGAGGCTTTCACGATAGCTGCCTCCATTGCGGCGATCTTGGAATTCTCTTCAACCACAATCTTGAAGTCCCTTGTGCGGCGCCCGTAAGAATAAAGGTCTGCAAGCAAATCATCATAAATCATCAGGCTTCGTTCGTCTTTTCAGGCAGCGAAACGACGGATGGACGGACCTGCGCGAGCAGACGCGGATTTCCCCAGCCCTTTCCGCGCGAGGCTCCTTCTGTACCATGCTTTGGCATTGGATTCATCAAGGTCAATGACAGAGGTCGCGTCAGCTTCGGCCTCTGTCCATCTGTGTACACAGCGCACTCAATCGAAAGGAAGAACATTCCAGAAACAACTGAGCCTACTTACCGCTCGAGTTTCAAGTGTGCGAAGCATCTATTGAGCGGGTATGTCCACTGAGATGGGTCTAGCTTCATAGACTCGCTGTAGGACTTGATGGCTCCCTCGTAGTCCTGCGCTGCAAACAGCTCATTTCCCTATAGCAAAGGAGTTTTACGGTGCTGATGGATATAAGAAGGGACAACGCACCCTCTGCTTGGCCGCCTCAGCGTCGGGTTCTATCTGGCTGGACATCCTGAAATTGAGGAGAAGAGAGGAGGGTCGCCTCGACGCTATCCGCCAACCAAGCTTGAAGTTCACACTGAGCGCTAGAGGCCTTCACTGCTCACACGCTCTTGTCAGTGAACTACCGCAGCAGCCATACAATGTGGTGTATGACCGTCCAGGTACAATCTCTGCATCTCTGAACCTTGACACAATTCTCGATAAGCATGAGCAGGTAGATGTCTTGACCGACCATTTAAAAAACAAAAGGAGCGCAGCACAAAACCGTTATAACGTTTCCATTGACGCGCCATGCTGAGTTGAGATAGCCGCACAAAGGGAAGCAAGAGTCTTTGTGTAGCAATGGCATACGGTAATGCGTGAAACGATTGACAAGAGATTGCTAACCAGCAATGCGCCATAATCCGGTCGCTCTAAACGGAACCAGGAGGCAGGTTAGCGATGACCGACCTAGTATTGACGCCTGGGAAGACCTCGAAGGTATCGTCGACTTCGCAAACGGTATCATGGCCGTCAGGTAGCTACACACATCGGATGTCAGGCCTGACGTATAGTCTAAGGAGGCTCGAGGGTACTGCTTACCGTGCCGTTAGTCGTATACGCCAAAATGATGTCATTGAGACAGGAAGATCCGCCAGGGGCGGTTTGGGAGGTGTGCTGCCAGCCAACGAAGGGGTCAGCATGCGAGCCGCTAAGATTGCACCATGAAGCAACAGTGACTCACGCCGAAAACGTTCAATCTGACTAGAGCTGCCTGGTCTCCGAAGCCGTCTGCCACTGCCTTCGCGCCATGAAATGGGGTTGCCGGATCGTACTGAGTTCAAATCTCAGCTTCAGCATGAACGCATACGGCCATTATTGAGACACACCGTGTTTCCAATCACGAGAATGTTATGGGAAAGCGTTTTGTTGAAAGGGCCTGCGTAACGCTCGACAGCACGCTCTGGCCAGAAAGAGCAAGAGAATGTGGTGGCAGGCCATTGCGAAGCGTCTACAGAAATGCGCTGGATGAGCTGCATGCACCCATGACTCTGGAAAAGAGAACGAAAGCGTACACATGTGGGATAGGTTCTGCGACGTCGAGACGATAATCTCGAATACGTTGTGCATCGTATCGTTGGCGGTCACGTCGGGGGCGTCGCTGCACATGATTGCTTGCGTGGTGTATGTAACGTTGCTGAACTCGCCCCGCTTGAAAAGACTACCAATTCGTGGTCAGAGTCTCGGTTCAATATTTACTGACGGAAAGACCAGATACTCACCTGAGTATCTCTGACCGTTTCGCGGAGGTGGCAATGCTCTTAGATTCGGCAAGCACAACTTGCTCCGCCTGGGGAAGGGTGATATTCATGAGGTCAGGCCAAGAGGTCATAGAGTACATGCTGGGCCAGAAGGCTTGAGCTAGAGGAACATGCTTGTGAGGGCGTGCTCGCTTTGTATGCAAACGGTCGTCGCACTTACTCCTCAGCTGTCCTGACGTCAGGGGAACGGACGCGTTAGCACGTTGAGCATCATGCGCCGCCTTGAGCATAACTTGGACACGGTCATGAACGTCGAGGGGGCCGTCTCCGACGGATGCGAACGCGCAGCCTTCGGGGCCTGCTAGGGCACAGGCGGTGACGACGCCTTTGTAAACGTCATCTGACGACGTCAATTGACTGGGCCAACCCTGGAGTAGTGAAGATCAGTCCCTTCTGGTGGCAACAGATATGGATTAGCCCTAGGTACGTACGAGAACGCCCAGTTCCGGATCGAAGATATCCGCCTGAGGGCCGACGACGCCGTCGAGGATAACGCGACCTGCACGCTACGACCGAAATGAGCCATCTCCCGACATACGCACATCTGCCCGCTCACCTCGGGGAACACTTCAAAGTGGATATATCAGCCCTGCATCCTCGCAACGCGATACCAGAGGAACACGCACTGCCCAAAAACCACGACCCAACAATGGTTCCATACGACAGCCCGATGAGGTTGATTGGGGATCCCGGGCCATCCAGCGCGTCTGCCATCGCAACCAAGTCCCTTACAGTCGCCGCTGTCCCAATGTACCGCAAGTATTGTCCGTCCGAGTGCTGCTGGCAGCGCACTCCGAGCTCGTCGTACTTCTGCTGCATATTGTCCGCTTGAGAAAGGAGGGCGTCGATGTCCTGCTGGTCGGTGAAGTTCCCGATCATGTTGATGCCCTCGAGCTCGATCGTGCCGTTCCAGAACGAAGCGTAGTCGGCCGCGGAGGCAAAGCAGAAGACGTCTCCTGGACTGTGCAGCCGAAGGGCATGATTCACTGCAGCATATGCGAAGAGTACGACAGGATACGCACGTTGAGAGCGAGCCGACACCGCGAGGGTCCCAACTGACGATGTCGTAGAGACCGCCCGTTTGTGCGAGGAGGAGGTCACTCGTTGCTGACAGCGCCTCAATACCAGACACCCCGGGCCCTCCTGAGAACTATGTCAGATGGCGAATCGCCGAACCAGCATCGTGTGGGCTCACCAGGATTCATGAAGAAGGTTCCGCGCTTCTCGCCGGTAGCATTGGCCTTGATGAGGGCAAGGCGGCCATTACCTATGGATGGATCATAATAATCGAGTGGAATGTCGAAGAAGCCGCAGAGGAGAGAGGGATTGGTAACAAGGGTAGGATCACACGGCCCCCATTGAATGGTCGATATGTTCGTACCGCTCTAAAGCATAGGCTATATCATGATCCTGTAGGCGAATGATGAGTGGAAGAACTGACCGTGCAGTTCAATCCGATGTTTGCAATAGTAGAAGCTGAAGATGCGCTCGAGGGAAGGGGAGAGTTACTAGAATGGAAAGAGAGCGCAGGAATGATCGAGGAAAGCAACAGGAACATGGTAGCGGAGGTAGAAGGAAGGGAAAATGGAATGAGAATAAAAGCAGGAAGATGGACGCGCTTTTGTACCTCGTCAATACATATGCAATTTGAAGTTCGGTCAATAATTGACGAGACCGTCCTACTGCGTGCGCAGGCTCTAAGCGGACAGCAGCACCGTGACTGATGTCCGCGCAATCCTAAACGCAGTCGGCTGTCGACCTGGTTTACGTGCGCAAGCGAAGAAGTACAAACCACTATATGCGATACGTTCCGCAGTGTACCGAAACCACCACCCGATGGTCGTAGACGTGAACGCGAGGACGGCAAGATGGAGGCTGTGCATCTGAACAATGACGGCAGATCGCAGCGGATGAGCGTCGCAGGGGTGCGTCGGCAGGTGAGCGCCTACAGCGCCTACGCAAAACAGATCGTTCTGGTAGGGATTCAATATTCAGATCTGAGAATTAAGCAGGTCTGATAAGTCGAACACCAGATTTGCTGAAATTCGCCGTCAGCAAATAGTCTCGGAAGGAGAGGACCTTGACTTTCACGACTTGCCGCAGTGCTTGCATCGACTTGAGATTTTCTGACGCATGCTTCCCATACAGTCTTGTCACTTCCACACATGTAGAAAGCTTCTTCCTCTACATCCCGTTTGCTGCCAGGGCCTGTCGATGTCGTGGTTGAACTTGGCCGCCCGTCGTCCTCGTGTCCTCGTTACGTCACATGCTGACTAATACCCGTGACGGGCGGGCGAGTTCGAATCCCAGTCATATCCAAAACCCGGGTCCGTATCTCCTTTGCTAGCTCCCGCAACCTCAACTTTTTCAATGATTCCAGCTCTCGAGGGCATCTTCCTGGCTGCTTGTGCTGGAACTGAAGAGAACGCTCTCGTTGCGATGATGCGGCCTTGGCGCTCTCAGTGAGGCGAGAGCGCGATCGGCCCGAGACTCGATCCGACGCTCCGTGCATTGGAAAGGTCGCGAAGGATGGCGAAGGATGCGCATTGGTGGTCACGAACTTGCCAGCAGCATCTAAGGCTCGCCTGAAACATATACGGGATGACTTCAGCATCATTGACTCTTGTCAGACGAACACCATGAGTTCCCGAGACCCAGAGACCACCACCACAACTACACAACCACTCGCACTCCCTGCGCCCTCCGATGCTGAGGACGTAGAGCAGATCACGCTCGATGGAACACGGACGTTCACGTTCAACAAGCTTGGTCCGGTGGTGGTCAACAGTGATGGCGTACGTTGTTCATCGCGTTCTCACAATCCGTCCTGACCGCTGGTGCTGACGTTGAATGTCTATCGACAGACGCTGTCGCGCATCGCGAATTGGGAGCAGATGGCCCCTATAGAGAGGGAGACAACGCTGCGCGTGCTCGTTGCTCGTAACAAGTGAACGTCATTCTCATATCATAGTATCAGTTGTCCACTGAAGCGTCGTCCACTAGAGTACGGTTAGCAAACCAGGAGAAGCAACAAGGCCAAGCAACCGAAGGAGAGAAGTTGTCGATATCCAACGCTTTCGAGTCATGATGGCGTTCTTGCCGAATTCGGTCCCGTTCTTTGCTGAAATGATGTAAGACTATTTTGCTCGATCCAATTACTGCTGAGCCCCCTTCTCAGCCGTCGTGCCTCAAATCTATTCATTCAACGCACACGCTGCGTCCTCTGAGAAACAAAATGTCGCCAGAGACTTGATACGGATGCTCGCGCTATGTCTGCGCTCACAGTCGAGGCGCAGGACTGCGCGACGGGCCGTACATACTGCGTACATGCGCATTCCCACGCGGATAGACAGGCCCGACTGACTGTCCCCGAGATCCATGCACGCTATACTTATGCTTCTGGTGATTTACAGCCGATGCAAAAACCAGCAGGCCGAGCGGCGAGCCCCAGCTATACCACAACAAGGACATTGTCCGACTCTGTTCCACCACTGGAAGCACCTAAACACAGTGGGCATCTGCGTCGTGAGCATCCCAGGCAAGAGATCCAGTGTCCTTTAGCTCGACAAGCTGCATGGCGCTAGGCGGGGTGCACTTGACGCACACGACAAGCTTGTCCCCGAGCTGGGCGGTGGCCGGAGCGCAGGCTCGCGGGGCTTGGCAGGGAGCCGCCGCTGATCCGAGCACAAGGGGGAAATGCGCCGCTGGTTTTTATATTAGCTGTAATGCCGGCATGAGAGGCCATGACCTTGTTTGCAACCACCACGATGTTGAAACAAACTGCGCTACTTGGCATTGCCGCCAGTTTGCTAGCATCAAGGTCAGTGTATGCTCAAACCAGCAACGAAACTGAGTGAGGCATCCTCTAGAGGAGATAGACCTATGACCACCGTGGTTCTCCAGAACACCCCTTTACAATGGGGTCCTTGTGATCCTACCACTGTCACAAACCCTGCGCTCACCTGCGCTTTTCTCGAGGTCCCGCTGGACTACTTCGACGCCTCCGCCGGAACGGCGCGACTCGCGCTCGCAAAAGTGAACGCGACGAGCGAGCGTCGTGGAACGGTATTTTCAACCCAGGCACGTCTTGTCCCCCCTGTCGACTCTCCTCCACACAGTAAGGGACATAGTACTCTGATATGCTTATACGGCCACGTACGTAGGAGGACCGGGCGGCTCCGGGATCGTCTCCCTGTCCCAGGAGAGCGCCTACCTCCTCGCAGTAACTGCGGGGCTGTACGACATCGTCAGCTGGGACCCGCGCGGGGTCGGTACGCTCACGACGTAAGTTCTCGCTCCATCCCTTACTCGTTTCCTCGCCACATTTTGTCTCAATCGCTTGCTTACGCTTGGACCGAAGCCCAGGGGAGATCCACTGCTTCTCGAGTCCCGAAGAGTACAACTCATTCTTCAACGGCACGCTCGAGCTCACGGGCATCGACTACACCGGCGCCTTCACCGACCCGCACGATATCGAGCACCTCCTTGCACGGGCGCCGCTTATGCAGCGCAAATACGAGGAGGCCGGGCGGAAGTGCTTGGACGGCCCGGGCGAGAGGTATCTGCGGTATGTCGGGACGGCGTCTACAGTGCGCGACTTGATCGCGATGACGGACGTGATCGAGGGCGAGGGTGCGCTCGTGAATTATATAGGGGGGTCGTATGGGACGTACCTGGGTGCTCGGTTTGTGAACAGTGCGTACTATCTAGCATCCTCGCGTCCTTGGTGAGTCATTGGTGACCGTGATTACGCGCCGCAGTGTTCCCTGAGGTATGTCGGTTCCGACATCGTTGAATGGGAGAGTAGTAGTCGCTTACGGTAACGTAGCGCGTAGGGAAGGTCATCCTCGACGGCGTGATCAACTCCGCGATCTACGCGAACCATTCGTGGGCCTTGGTGCGTCTCCGCGCATCTCGTGCAGGCCCTCTGGTATGCATCCAAGCTGACAGCTGACCGTCTTCCGCACCCTAGGGCTAGCATAATCAATTGGTCGACACGGACGCCGTTTACAGGGGATTCGTCACTGGATGCGCCCTAGCAGGTCCTCAAGGGTGTACAATCGCCTCTGCGGGCCAAACTCCAGAGGCCGTGCACCAGACGATCCTGGGTGTGCTCCAAGCGGCGTATGGGGCCGATGTGAAAGCAGGAAATGCAGGTTCCCTGATCACGTCTTACCAGATCCGAGGTGAGTGCATTCAATTTTGTGAGATTCAACTTTTATGGCTGAGGTAACCTGTTGGTTAAGCGAAACTCTTCAACGCATTGTACTCACCGGCGTCATGGGCCTCTGTTGCGAACGAGCTGTGGCCCCAGATTGTAGGGAACGTATCTGCCCCCTCCCAGAGTCCTTCGCGGAGGACTGTTCCGGACACATTACGACGGAGGTTCGTCTTGAATTGTCTAATCGTTAATCGGTCGTGTGACCAATACGTCGGAGCCTCACATGCAATTCACGGTGCTAATTGACTACTAGTCCATGGAAGAGACAAGATAACAAGGCTAATGCAACAGTTTCGTACACGGCAATTGCTATCTTCTGCGCAGATGACGGCGTCAACCCTGAGAGCACGGAGATGTCGACGGTCTTCCAGAGCGTCGTCACGCAGACTCAGAATGTGAGCCACATGGGTGAGCATCTATCCTCGCGTGTGCATCCTCGAGGCCGCGCTCACGAACGTGCTTGATGAATGTCAGTGGGAGGCGTCTGGCCCCAACCTGTCTACTACTGCCCATTCTGGCCTGTCCGTGGGGTAGAGAGGTACCAAGGACCGTTCAAGAAAACGCTCGTGAACAAGATCGCCCTCGTCGGAAACACCGTCAGTGCTCCGTAAACTGCACGTCCTCAATAGCGCTGCACTAACATTGTTTGTCCAGTATGACCCTGTGACGCCGTTCTCTGGTGCGCAGGGACTCGCAGACCTGCTCGGGAACTCTGCCAACCTCATACGGCTAAACGCCTTCGGTGTAGGAGACTTTGCACCCTGGTAATGCATCTTACCTGACTGCTGATCTGTTTCTTTACGAGTCAGCATACCAGTGCGGCGGAGCCGTCAGATTGTACCGTAGCTCTCGGCCAGGCCTACTTCGCCAACGGGACCGTAAGTTGCGCCACTGTTCCTCTTGTATTTGGATATGGGGACTAAGAGGTCTCTCCACAGCTTCCTGAGGAAGATGACGTGGTGTGCGGGGTCAATAATGACTTCGAGCCCTTCCCTGGCGTCAACACCGCAGCAATCCTCGCGAACTTGACGAACTTCCAGCACTGACTCCAAGGCACATGGGACCTCGTTCTGTCTGGCTTCGCATATAGCTCATATCGTTCTCGCTGGCTTATCAAGCAGGGTTTGGACTCAATCCGAGACATGTTGCGTAACTATGTCCCTGCTTGACCCATTGTATGCACAGAGGGAGTATAAAGCGACACAATGGATATCTGCTACTATCTTCGAGGATCGTTGACCAATGTGGAGCTTTCTGCGTAACTTCTCTGACGAACCTGATCATCAATCTCGCGAAGAGTGCAATATGACTCAAGAAACCGACTCACACGTCCTATTGTCCACAACGGGCGGAATTCGGAATCACCGTCCCGTGGGGAAAGAGCCGGGAGGATCGATGGTCTCGGTCAACGTGATGGTGGTTCCGCCGAACGTCTCTGTGACGGTCGTCGCGTAGTTGGGGATGAGGCCTTTGACTGGGGTCGCGGCGGCTGGGGGGACGACGTTAGTGTGACCTTGGGATGACTCCGAGGTGGAAAACCGGTTTGGCGCACCGTGAGCAACGAGGGCAGCAGCCACAATGAAGACGTTGAATCCAAACTTCATTTTTCCGAAGGGGGGGAGCAGGTTCGTCTTTAAAAAAATGGGCTTTGCGAGACTTGATGCGGTTGACCGACTAGAGACCTGCTACTTATACGGACCCAAACGTGATCATCGCCCAGAGATTCCGTCACCTAGACTCACAACTGGTAAGAACTCGTGTTGTGCCAAGCCCCTTACAAATACTGCCGTGCTCAAGGCGGTGTACGCTCGGATCCGGATCTCGTCGCCTACGAACACACAATACATGTACTGTGCTTCTTGCATCGTGGCCTCGGGCCCACGAATGTATGTAGTGACTCACTTAGGGATGGACATGAGCCGGATAAACCCGCCTCGTGTCTAAGCAGACTGGTGTCTATCCCCGGACCGATGACCCTCTCCGTGTGCAAGCCGGAGACTTACACATCAGCATCATACGCCGGGGACAGCAGCCCGCGACTCTAGACGGGCATGGGGACAAGCAGTGAGACGGTGCAAGGTTTCAGTATGGCCTTGGTGAGGGTTGCGAGGAGAGCGAGTCGGGGTAAACGCCAGATACAAAGCTTGGCGGTCGTGAGCCCACATGTGCATCAAGGCTCCAGCGCGGAGTCAGCGCTTCTTGTGAACACATTCGGAGCCAGAGAATGGTTCCTCTTCGCAGTGCTAGCGCTGGCGAGTGCGCTGCACGCAGGCAGGCTCCATCGTGTATGCCCCAGTCCGGACACAAGTCTAGGACGTCGACAGCCTCAGTCCACATAAACGTGATCCCACGCAAGTCCGATCCGTGCCGGTGGGCACACAGTTCAGAGCGTGGGCTCTGGGAAGAATTGTGCGTCTCAGTGTGGCTCAGCCAAGGCTTCGATCGGGATCAACTTGATTGAGTCGCAGAAGGGCTTACCGCGAGCAGCGAGAGCAGTAGCAACGGAGAAAATGTCGAGACCGTGCTCCATCTCCTCGAGAGTTTTGTTCATTCGTGTAGAGTACCTAGAGCGAGTACCTGGAGCGAACTTCGTCCAATAGCACAAGTTCGTGCTGCTCAAGGTTGTATCGCACGCGTTTCAAGTACTGCCCCACTCACACTGGCAGTGGCGTAGGCTCAAACCGAGTGTTATCGCTTACCATAGCGCCATCAATGATCATGCACCCTGGAGAAGTCCGTATAATTTCCGCGATAACTGAAGAGCTTCTGAGTTCGCATCGTCGAGGTTGCGTCATGGACATGTCCTTGCGGTACATGCTAAGCTTCCCACCCCGCCTTCTCTGTAGGGTTCACTCAAAGCCTAGTGTAGACAATCAATGAGGTAGTAACAAGAGCATGTCGAAGGCGAGGGGACTCGGTCACGAGGACTGAAGCATGAATGCAGTGAGAAAGTGCAGAGGGCGAACAGAGAACTACGCTCACGATCTCAAAAATCTCCCAGGAGCCTCGGGCAACGTATGAATGCGCCTTTTAGTGAGCGGTGACGGTGGTGGGCTGGCCAGCGACCGTCTCCTGGCTCGGGGCGTCCGTAACGACGGTAAGCGTAGCGGTCGTCGTCGCTCCGTCGAACGTTGGACCGTGAGGGTGGTAGTGATCAAACAGTCCTCCGCATCGGGCGCAATGGCGGCGGCGACCCCGGTGGGATACGACAGGGCCCGTCTCGATGGTCTCCGGGAAGGTCGTCAGGGAGGTGGGTATGATGGCTGCTAAGGGAGTCACGGAGGACGGATTCGAAGACGTAGTCAGCGTGGCTTTGCAGGCCTGCGGACCGTAGGGTGGGGCGGAGACATGCTTACCGCTGGCTGCGAGGGCGGCTCCGACGATGACTGTGAAGTGCATGGGTAGATGACTGGTGATAGGACTTGAAGGTTCTTCTGCAGGCTCTGAGGGGGAGGGGACGAGGAAGCGGGAGTGCCGACGCGGCCAATCTCCTGGAGGTCTGCTATCATCTGTCTAGGGACGCTAGTGACCAAGGTCTTCCGAGGACGTAGTTCTAGATGTGATATAGTGAGCGAGGCTTCCCAATGTGATCGCTTTTCAACCTAAGTCCAGCGGGAAACGTCTCAGCACCGTTGCGCAGCTACTTTTCAGACGAGATGTAGCAGGACGAGGCGACGGTTCCGGCTTCTTCTCCGAGCAACAGTGGAGACGATGTGTACGGATATGCACACCGCAAGTAAATGCATCGAGTAAGTATCCCGCATTCAGCGCCATATTGAAACAGACTCGCCATCGCTTCTAGAAACACTCCCAGCCTGACATGGACAGATATCCAACATCTGAACGAATCTGGGATATTCTAAATGCCGTCTTGCGCGTCCCGAGCACTGCAGTTGTCGTCAGAGCCCATCAAGGCCGGAACGAGCATTGTGGTTTGCGGGAGCGCAACATGGTCCCAGGGGCGTCATGTGGGAGGACAAAAACACATATAGTCATGCTTGCAACGTCGCAATGGGAATGGGTTCAGTTCAATGCGATATAAGCTCGTTGTTTGCTAGATGATGATGTAGGGGCGTGGAGGAGGTAGAGCTGGGACTGCATGCCTCGGTCACTAGTACTGGGGCGAGGAAGCGTATCAGCCGAGGCTATCTGTGCGCAATGAGAGATACCGGGTGGTCTCACAGATGACTGAAACGTATGTACATACACGGCGGGCAAACACGGCGGGCAAACACGGCGGGCGATCTCTGTCAGAGTCTTCGAAGCCAAACTGAAGGCGAGTCGCGACGCTGTCAGCGCTTCAACGGTGGGAGTCATATTCGGACTCCGATTACTCCCAGTATAGTCTCCGTCGAGCTCCGATGACTGCTGCCGCTCGTTTCGAATGACATCGATACCGGTTACGAGTCGGCTACTTACTCGCTGGGAACGAGAATCAGTCTCGGGGTGGAACCATATTAATTGCTGCCTGTCCTGGTCTTCCATCTAGGTTGTTAATATGTGCGCTTCCGGATACGAGCAAGCAGACCGGGCAGGCTTGTCAACTACACGCGTTGATTCGAAGCTTCTGCAGTGCTTTCCGTAAGTTACCCCGAGTTGGGATTCTCCCTGAACATGACGGCTGTCGCTCATGAACATGTCATAGTGGTACCTCACTTACGGTCACGCAGGTGTAGCTGTCTGAGACCGCAAGCTGCCTTGCTCTGTGATAGTGTCCAGTGAGATGAGGCATCGGACTCGCACATGGTGCACGGACTAGTGCTCCCCGAGCTGCATGCTATGTAGGGCCGAGGGAAGGCGCTGTGCATCTTCCCAGATTGGGCAGGACGCAGGCTGGCTGCTATATGCGCCGGCTGGCTGCTATATGCGCCGGCTGGCTGCTATATGCGCCGGCTGGCTGCTATATGCGCCGGCGCGGGGCTCGGCGGATGTCAGGTGCAGGCACGCGAGACGCAATTCCGCCCGTCGCGGGAGGGGGACTGCCAACTCTGTCCGTACCCAACCTGCACGTCGCCCACCACTTTCCGGATCCCCGCCGCCCGTCCATGCCTTCCTCCATGCCTCCCTCCCCGTCCCCCGCCGCTGCCCACCTTCCCGCCTCTCTCGTCCACTACCACCCGACCCTCCCTTGCCCTCCTCCTTCGTGCCTTCCGCCCTCCACGTTCCCCCTCCATCCATCCTTGTGCTGAGCTAGCCTGAAGCATGTCCGGCCTCGACAGTACCTATGGCGCCCTCTTCATCGGCGTACTCGTCTCCGCGGTGTAAGTCCCCTCAAAAAGGGGTGGTCATAGTCCACCGTCACCGGGCGAATCCTGGAGGCGGTGTTGCCCTCGGATTCGCGTTTTCAGCATACCTGCGCAGAATCGCAGAAGCTCCCCAGTCGCGGGTCTGCTGTCCGCAATCCTGCCTCCCTACCCGGAATCGTGAACATCCTCGCCCGGGTGCAGGGGTATGGGACGATTCCGTAGGATGATTTGGGAGGCAATTTGGCCCCTCAAAATCACCATCTCAGCACAATCGTGCAGCACCGCGCAAGCTACCCTGGAGGAGCTTCTGCCCTGCAGACTCGCCTCGAAATCGCGCTCTCTGACCACCCTTCATATCCCCTTTCATTCGCAATCGAACTAACGGGCTTGGCTCCTAGACTGTTTGGACTTACCATGCTTCAGGTATTCGTCTATTTTCAGCAATACCCGGGAGACAGGCGGTGGATAAAGGTGGCTGTATTCTGGCTCTGGTGAGTCATGACTTGACCTCGACTGCGTCGCTGCAGTTGTCGTAATCGCGATTCCAGGTTCCTCGACGCCTTCCACTTCTCATTAAGCGCTCACTTCATCTACTTCTACCTCGTCATCAACTTCGACAACCCGTCCGCTCTTTTGACAGTGATATGGAGTTACAAGGTACGGATGCTATCACACGTGCGATCAAAATCCATGTTGACCCTCACCTAGCTCCGTACTATCATAGACGTGCGTATACTGTGACGTTCACCCTACTCGAGCTGATTTCCCGGCGCCAGGGGTTCGTCGTGATATCCGTACACACGTAAGCTCGCACATTTGACCGTGAACGTCCCGTATCTCATCCCATCTACAGCTTGTACACCTTCCAATTATGGACTCGTTCGTGCTCTCCACGCTCTGCTCCCGGGTTCCCAACCTGACGCTTGCATCTAGTGCGCGGTATCGACGAAGATGTAGAACCGTTCAAAGAGGAGGACCGACGGTGGAGCTCGCAGAAGGTCACGCTTCAGAAGTCGGCCGCTAGGTGGATTATGCGGCTAGTAGTCCCATATCTCGTGGTGAGTCCCCTGTGGCCGGAGAAATCTCGATTATACCAAACCATGCGTTCGCTAGGGCGTTCTGGTCGTTATAGGTTATGGTAAGTCAATCGTCTTCCCACGACAACCTCTACTTATGCTGTTTCGATCCACCAGCTCTTGTGATTGGTGCGCTCCGTATTGTCTGGCTGATGACCACCGCTGAACGCGAGTTTGTGTGCAGTTATGTGTAGTGAAACGTAAGTCTACCGCTTCCCATCTTCTTGTGTCACGGTTCTGATTATGCCACAGATATAGACTGGACACCTTCGACCGTCTATCGCACGCTCCCGTACGTTTCTCTTTTCCCTCTGTCCTAAGAATTATTCCGATCTTAACACGTCTTTGGCAGTTTGCAACATATGTGCCTCTAGTTTGCTCGACTTTGACAGACATCGTCATCGCCGGTTCGCTGTGTTACTTCCTCGCCCAATGTCAGACCGAGTTCGGAGCGTAAGTAGCCTTGTACATCCCCAGTGCCCGTGCTGAGGTCCGCGTCCGCCCTCCAGGATGAACGGTGTCCTCCGAAAGCTCATGTTCTATACCGTGAATACTGGTATTGTAACTAGGTCAGTCAGGTGGCGCGACCCATCTCATACAAACAAGCACTTATGTCTCCCGTTAGTCTATGTTCTATAATAGCTATCTCTATGGTAAGCACGCGACAGCATAGGCTGTCCCTTCCGCTGATTTCAAGTTTTCAGATGATCGCATACCCTGCTACGTTTATTACCGCTGCTATCGAATTCCTTGTCATCAAACGTGAGTGGCTCTTGGTCTTAGAGCAATGCGATGCTGACCCGCTGCAGTGTACATCAACTCCTACCTCGCAATGTAAGTCCTTGATTGGTCACCTCGCTGCCAACGCTCCGTTCACCCATCGTTCCCCGCAGGTTGAACGCGCGTGGCGGCATTCGCGACGGCCTTCATCACACGCCTCCCGGTTTCACCCCCAACGCGTCCTTCATCCTGCAGAACGTCGGCCCGCCTGAGCACAAACACCAGCTCTTCCTCTCAGGATTCCCGCCATCCTCCTCCTGCGTACACCTCGGCCACCCCGGACAGCCGCACATCCAGTTCCAGAGCATCCGCGAGCGGGACACGTGCCCGGCAGAGCTCTACGCATTCCAGTTCCCCACCCCAGGCCGCTCGGACAGCCTCGCCAGCGAGGAGCCGTTCCTGCCCCGCGCCCCGCGCCTGAGCCACCCGGACGTCGCCCTCCCCGAGTACGACGAGTCCGTCCGGCTCAGCCATCCTTTCGCCGCCGGGACTGGGGCCCAGACGCAGGTAGACCTGCCGACGCTCATGCTCGCGGAGCAGCTCGCGATCACGCCGCCCATGCCCGAGTCCGTCTCGCCCAGGTCGCGCCCCATCGACGCGCGGCCCTTGTCCCCCGAGCCAGAGCCTCGGCACGAGTACAGCGGCCCGTGGGCACAGCGGCGGCCGAGCTGCGCGCACTCGACGACGCTCAGCACCATCCCCTCCGTGTCCTCCCGAACCTCCGTGCCCTCCAGGGAACAGCACCACCCGCAGGACTACCCGTCGCCCCCGGAACGCGCGCTGTCGCTGTCCCCGCTGCATTTTGGGACCGCGTCGCTCGGCCCCGCCGCGTCGTTCGACGTGGACGTGGACATCGTCGAGGGCGTGGGGCCGCCGGTGGTGTACGCGCAGAGGGACAAGGACAAGTACTCGCGGATGGTGCGCTCGGGGCGCGGGTGGGGCTCGCGCAGCGCGTCGAAGCCGCGGCGGGCGCTGTTCGACGCCGAGCGGGGCGTCGCGGTGATGTGGGGGCTGCATGAGGAGCGGATGGCGCGTGCTGCTGCGTGAGGAGCGCGAGGCGAGTCGAGGGGAGGTTCGAGCCGATCTCGCATTTGACTGGGTACTGCCGGTGTGCATGCGCTCGAGTTAGTCTGCTTGTCAGGACATTTGCGGTGTGTTTTCGAGCTCAATGCTATCCTTCTGTTATGCGCGTCTGTCTTTGCGTGATACAATTGCAATATTCAAGTCTTTTTGTTGCGAAAGCTGTAGGTTCAGTAGCACGGCCTGAACATACAACAACATATGACTACGAGAGAAAATTACGTAATTGACAGCATAGCCAAGTGATTCAGGCGACCTGGGTTAGAATCTGTGGTTAGCTAGGGAACGTAGGTTCGAACCCTAACTGTATCATTTTGTCCATAGCTCTCGTCGATTAGCTCAAGGAGTCGCCTTGTCGCAGAGAATCTTGGCCCCTTTCTTGCTCCCTCCGACGGCGGAGAATATGCACGTTGCTAGTATGTGCACTACTGGGTACACTCATCTTCAAACATTCTCCATTGTAACCTGCTTGATTATTCCCCAGCATGGCTCGGCATATCGAACACCTGACCATTTGTAGACGAGCGCCTTGACAGCAGGTCTCCCTATCCTTCAACGTCGCGACAAGGACGACAACGATGACGGATCGATAATTCAGCCCCTAGCCGCGATATCGCCCGCGGCCGCCTTCTAGATGACCAGATCGGGGGAACACCAAGCAGTACGTGCTCACACACGCCGCGCTACGCCTTCTGTGGTGACTAAAATTTGCCCTCGGGCAGCTTGAAGGGTCGCCGAGGCTCCGCAGAATGACACCAGGCGGCCTCACCTGAGCAGGTCGGTGACTTGAGCGCAGGCTCTATCCTATCCTAGTCGGCCTTGCCCCGCACAAAGAGCTGCCGGGTGACACACCGGTTACTAGGGTTGCCGCCCCGATGCCGATTTACAATGCTAGCCCGGGGATCTCTCGAGAGTGACAATCGCACAAGATGCCGGAGTGCCTATATATGGGAGTGGTCTAACTGATCGAGGTTCACAAAACATCATCCCGCGATCACTAGGTCGATAACATAGCCACTACTATAAGCCAAGATGTCTCCTGCCCTCAGCGACATTCCAGTGGTAACGTCGCAGCAAGGCTTGAACAGCACAACTTGGACCCGCCCACCGCTGTTCAGTTCCCTCACGATACCCGAACTCTACGCGTTCCACGCAGAGAAGAGTCCAAACCATCCTGTTATCGTGTTCGATGACGAGCATGGTAATGTGCAAACGCTGTACCACAGGGACGTCTTTCGGGGTATCCGCAAAGCGGCGAAGATAGTTTCCGAACGGCTGCCTCAGACCATGCTCGATAACGATGGACATACCACCATTGGTATCCTTGCGGTCACTGGTACGTGCCGCTTCTCCGTGTCCGAGTTCGTCGTGCATCACTAAAAGATCACATTCAGATTCTCCGACGTACCTTACCATTCAGGTCGGGATCATGTACCTCGGCCACACGCCGTTCCCTATCTCTGCGAGAAACTCGTCGGTGGCCGTCGCGCATCTGATCAGGATCACTTCTCTTCGCCAACTCTTCGTTAGTCGCGATGCGGTTATGCAGCGCATCGCGCACGAAGCGAAGGAACAGCTCGCGCATGACGGGTATGAGGTCGAGTTGCTTCCCTTGCCGGAGTTCACCGACCTCTACAACGATGCCAATGAGCCGGGTATCCCCATGGGTCGCATCGTCCCAGATAAACCTGCTCTTATCCTCCATTCGTCTGGTACGTTCCTGAGCTGTTCTATAAAGGGTAATTCCTGGTCTGACATCGTACTGCACAGGATCCACCTCGTTCCCCAAGCCTATCACCATTCTGCATCGCACCTTCTCTCAGTGGGGTTACACGCCCTGTACGCCCGTGATTCCACCAATGCTGCCCGTCCCCGTCTGACATCTGCTTAGATTTCTCCAACACGGACATGTGCGGCCTGCGTGTCTCATTCCACGGTTTGCCGCTGTTCCGTGAGTCCATCCCCTCAATGATCCATACACTATCCGGCTGACGCCGTCAACAGACGTCATGGGAACATTCTCGATCGCCTGGATTGTACGTAACCAGTACTAGATGACGGTCAGGAGTGCTCACTTCCAGAATGACCACAGGTCGGGACAGGCGTAACGGCTGCCTTCTTTAGGCCCTCCTCGCCACCCATCGCGTCGACGCCTGAAACATTGTTGAACGCTGCCGTCGCTTCGAAGGTCGATGGCCTTGTCTGCGTACCTACCTTCCTCGAGGTACATCTTGCAGTTTTATTGAACCATTCCGACCTGACCAGAACTCGCAGACATGGGGACGCGATCCGGCCAACGTGCCTGTTCTTCAACAGTTGAGATTCATCGTGAGTGACTACACGGGCATCTGTTATAATCACTTGTCTGATGTTCACTGCACGCGCAGTTGTTCGCTGGCGCACCCCTCAGCAAGGAAATCGGGGGCTTGTTGCATAACAGTGGCGTGAGGCTGGCCACAGGCTTTGGGGCGTGCGTCATTCTCCTCTATCGTACATGCGTTCGGAGTGACAGTCCTGATTTCATTGTGCGTGTTCAGCACAGAGGTGGGGGCGCTCACGAGGGACATATTCCCGTCTGACCTAGCCCTCAGGGGCGAATGGGAGTACTTCGCCCTGACTCATGTTGTGGAGCAGGCTCGTATTTACCAGGAGGGCCAGCCGGGAGTCTTCGAACTCGTCATATTGGTCAGTCGGTCGATGCACATGCACATGCGCATTGCAAATGTGCTCATGATGCTCACGACTGCTTTGAAGGAGTCTGAGACCATGTGCCCAAATGTTTTGAACACCGAGGTTGACGGACGTCGGGGATACGCGACGAACGACCTTATGATGGAGCATCCGGAACACAAGGAGTATATGAAGGTCGTCGGTCGCAAGGACGACCAGATCATCTTGTCTACGGGAGAGAAGGTGTGCACCGACCACCGCATTGTCCTTGTAGAAGGATAACGTCTAATTTGCTATCGACAGACTAATCCAGTTCCCATGGGTAAGGCGGTGTTCACGTTGTACGCGTAGGCTCTGCTCAACGCGGTATTTTATAGAGGCGATATTGCTGCGAGACTCCAACATTGCTGCAGCCATCATCTTTGGTCGTGCACGCACGCAGAATGGCGTCATCATTCAACCTAAGGAACCATTCGACCCTAGCGACGAGGTGAAGTTGGAGGCCTTCCGGAATCAGATTTGGTGGGAATTTCCCCTCGCCTGCTCTCCTCATTCATATGAGCTCAATATCATGTAGGCCAACGGTCGAGCGCGTCAACGAGTTCGCACCCTCGCACTCGCGGTTGTTCAAAGAAGTTCGTCCCTGTGAAAGCTTCTATTATTGAGGGCTTAGGCTCACTCTCCATATAGCTCATCACAGTCACGAAGCCGAACAAGCCGTTCCAGTACACGGCGAAGGGAACGCCCCGTCGTCACGTCTCACTAGATGAGTACGCAGAAGAGATCGAAGAGCTGTACAAGAAGCTCGAAGAATCCTCACAAGTGGATATCCCTGTTCCCCCTTCCTGGTCAGCTGAGACTGTGCGAACGTACGTCCGAGGGGTGGTCAAGAAGGTTATGAAGGTGCCCAACATCGAAGATGACGACGACCTGTTCCAGCAGGGCGGCGATAGGTATGTTGCTCTGCGCCCCACTGTCTGTGAGATTCCGACTTACGAGGCCTAGTTTGCAAGCTACCTGGATCAGAAATACAGTGCTTCACGCTATCAGGACCACAACCAAGCTCTCCGTTCATGACATCCCACTGAACTTTGTCTACAACAACCCGAGCATAACCCAACTCGCTTTCTTCCTTCTCAGAATCCTGTCTGGGACAGCCGTAGGCAAGGAAGAAGAGCGTGCCTCTCGCCTTACGCAGATGGAGTCCATGCTGTCGAAGTATTCTAGCACATTTCCCAAGCCGAGCTGGCGCGGGACGTCATCCAGTAACGTCAGCCACAATGGCCACGGGCTTTCGCAAGAGACGATCCTCATCACGGGGACCACCGGCCGCCTCGGGTCTCAGCTGCTCACTCAGATCCTCGCGGAACCTGAAGTCGTGCATGTCTACGCCTTGAACCGTGGCGTTCCCGGGGATAGCGCAACCCTTGAGAAGAGACACCGTGAGGTGTTCCGTGCCTGGAACCTGGACGAGCACGTATTGGATGGTGGAAGGGTGACCTTCTTATCCGGAGACCTGTCGAAGCCAGGGTTCAACTTGGATCAGCGGACGTTCGAGCAAGTGAGAATGGTCAATTATCCTCGCATGTCAGTGTTTCTGATGATGTCCATAGTTACGCGCCTCCGTCACGGCTATCATCCAGAACGGTATGTGTCTCAGCACTCAGTAGTGTCATTTACTCTCTAAAACACATTCTAGGCTGGCGTGTCGACTTTAACGTCTCCTTGCCATCATTTGAGCCCCTCCTTGCTGGTGCACGCAATGTCGTCGACTTCGCTTTGAGCTCAGCTGTGGCGGGTGGGCCGAGGCTTCTTTTCGTCAGCTCTATCAGCGCGCTCTTCGGTAGGGCTCTTGTTGTCGTGAATGAAGACGCTTTCTAACCAAGAGCTACAGGATACTCGTCCACGACGCCGGCTCCCGAATCGCTTGAATATGGTCCAGAATACGCACTAGGGACTGGATATGGCGAGAGCAAGTGGATCACAGAACAAATGCTATGGCGGGCGACAAGGGAAACGGGCCTCCGCACGACATCCGTGCGTGTAGGCCAGCTGAGCGGCGACTCGCAAGTAGGTGGTTGGAATATTAAAGAGTGGATTCCATCTATCGTCCGAGCAAGCAAGCGACTAGGCCTTGCACCTGAAAGAGACGACGTGAGTTGACAACATCACATCGTGTCGGAGACCGTGTTAATGAGAGGATCTATTACTAGACTGTCTCTTGGGTTCCGATCGACATCGCGAGTGCAGCGCTTCTTGAGATGCTGTACAGTGACGAGCCTATCTTGCATCTCACCTCGCCCAAACCGGCCTCTTGGAACGACGTGTTCCAACCGATCGCGAAGAAAATCGCAGTCCCTCTCGTATCGACTGCAGAGTGGCTCGAGAAACTGAAGGAGTCTGCACGCGCAGCGAACGAGGTGCAATTGCAGACGGACACGCACGAGTCTGCGCATACTCTCATCGATTTCTTTGAGGCGTCCTTGTCGAACAAGGAAGTGTTATTTGCGACCCACAAGGCCTCAGCCGCTTCGCGTACTCTTGCAAGACTGGGGCCACTCGGTGAGGCAGATGCATTGAGGTGGGTGGCTTACTGGGAGAGCGTTGGGTTCTTGAATGTATGAGCTCTACACTCCGCGGTGGTATATATCATACATAAGGGTGGGTTCGGATCAGGCCATGTATATACGCGACATGCGACAGCGACCAGATTGTGTTGTTACTGGTAAATATCAAACGGGTCCAAGAATTTTCCACAAGCATATGTATTCGTTCCAGCTCCTTGAAGCTGGTCTCCTACGATCATGTGTTCCCCGTGTCTCTAACGATTTAGACTCCCTTCACAGCCTAGAACTCTCAAAATGGTTCGTTATACCCGCTACAACATCCCATATTACTTCAGCTACAAGCCGCGGAGATTGCTGGATGGCCTAAGGTACATATCAGTGAGTCAACATACACTTATAATGAACAAGGGGAACGCACTCTTAGTCCAGTCCTGGGTAGGTATCTGATTGAGGCAAGACTTTCGACTTCGTTGCTGACCGCTCGCTGGAACTCTTGAGTTCTGTGAAGCCTGAAATCTTAACTCCGAACACGGAATCTCTTTGCATTCGAACTTACGCCGTCGACTGTATCTCACCGAATGCCACGTGCACGGGGACACGGTGGCCCAAGTGGCGTAGATGCTGCAGCATGGGCTGAACCTCGTACAGCAACTGCATGGCCCTCCGCTCTATCGTCCTCGGATATACGAGCGTTACGCCTTCTGTTTCGAGTGGGTATGCTCGAGATGGCAACGAAGTAACTCCGGATTTCTAACGATATGTCAGACCCGTAAGCACATCAACCGTTTTTAGGAAGGACCTTACCACAAACTGCTCAAGCACTTGAGGATGCCAACTCCGATGATACTTCTCCGCCTTGAGATATCGAAGCGCCTCTTCACGGCTCCTCCAGATATCGGGTATAGTCTTGCTATACTCCGCATATTGCGATGCCTCTCTCCGGGCGTCAGCATTGACCTTGATCAATTGCGCGCTGTAGAACCATGGGTTTATCAGGATGATAGAGGTAAACGGGACTCCGGACGGCTCCCGGAACATCATCGTGGATAGAACACTATGAATTAGAGGAGGGGTTAGACGTGATGTTCGAGAGGATGTCTTAGGCACTGACGCAGTAACTGCCCCTCCGCATTGGCCTACTAACACAAACCTTGGCTTAAGCGATTGTGCGAGGAGTCCTGATCGGAATAGAGCCAAGACAGTCAAGGCGTACGTGCGACACACTGTTCAATGGGCGTTGATAGGCTGTCATGTGCGTAGAATTCATGGAAATCACTCACTCACCGGCTCTACCCGTCCTCTCAGCACGGTCTCGTTCAATAACGCACTCTGGCCGTGGTCAGGACACTCGATTGACCAAACTTCACAGATAGTCGGCCTTTGCCTCAGCCCAGGACCTGCTTTCTCAAGCTCGAACAACCGCTCGATGGTGGGTTCCCATTGTTCTTTCACTATGCCAGTTTTGAGCGGGGAGAGCTTGATAACGGTGCAAAGACGTACCACAGCCAAGCCCGTGTAAGAGTAAGATCGTTACCGAATCGTTCCTGGAGAGCGCCTTTCTACCGCCCGCATTTGGGTTGGCAGGCAACCTGTAGCGCTTCACATACGTCTCAAGATCTTCGCCATGGGCTTTCAGACTGAGGATGTGGGTATCTACAGCTAGACTGGAGGGCATTGTGGGAATAAGGAAGGGAGGAAGGCTGAGGTCCACAGACAACAGACCTTGCACACTTTTAAATGCGATGTTCTCGTAACCGAAACGTAGGCGCACCGACAAGTGGCGCATGAACGTTCATGAACCCTCCTGAACTGAGCGCCGCTGGTATACAAAAGTACCGTAAAGTCATGGACTGGACGCCGCTGTTATGATTGCATTGCACATTGGAAGTAACAGTGTCAGTGTTTTCGCCCACATGAAGTGTACAGAACTCGGCTCGTGTCATGGTGAAGACGTATCACTGCCGGCATAGCACCGGCACAGTTAGGTAGCACTTCGTGCGAAGTCGAGAATGGGACGACCGTGATGCTGCGCCTACGGACCATAGGCCAGGTGTGGCGGTTGCTTGTAGACTGGCCCGAATATTGGAATGTCTTAGCTTGAATTCGTCCGTTATCCGCCCTACCCTTCATATAAACACGCTTCCACGATTGAACGAGTCTATATTAGGGATACAAAACGACACTGTTCATGCAGTGAGCCCTGGAACGATTACAGCACGGAATTTTGCAGATGAGCGACGATTGTAAGCCTCCTGAGCTTTCTCCAAGGGGAACTTCTCCACCAAGCATTTTACATCGTGCGTGCGAGCGAACGCGACGCAATCCTCGCTGTCGGTAGCATGCCCGACCGCCCAGCCTCTGATCGACAGGCGCTTCCCCAGTAGCTGGGCTAGCACGCGGAGACCGTCAGCGCCCAAGTAGCAGTCAGCGATCATCGACTAACTCACTCGGCGAGATTGTCATGGGCTCGGACTCGAGCATGAGCAAGAGCAAAGTCCCGTCCACAGCGAGACCAGGTATAAGCTTCTGGGCGGCATCCGAGCTGGGGGCAGTGCACATAATGACCTTGGCGCCACCGAGAGCCCGGAGTGCCTCTGCTTGATCCACCTTTGAGCCATCGACGTACTCGTGTGCACCCAAGGAGCGAGCCAGCGATTCCTTTCCTGGACCAGAAGACAGTGCAATGACACGGAAGCCCATGGCCTTCGCGATCTGGAGTGCCAGGTGACCCAGCCCGCTATGGATCTGCGATCAGAGGAGGGAATGCGAAGCTAAGGGAAGAACCTACCCAATACCCTGGACAGCGACATAATCTGGCGGACGCGCGTTCATGTGCCGTAGAGCATCTCAATACGCCCATTCGTATCAGCCACTGGAGAAACGAGACCCAAGGGTAATCAACCTACTGAAACAGGTCACAGCCGCACATAGAAGTGGGGCCGCCTCAGCTGGGTCCAGGTCGTCCGGAAGTGCGGCAACAGCCTCAGACCTCAGAATTGCGTACTCGGCATATCCGCCATCTCGTAAGGTCCCTGTACGCGTCGTTCGTAATCAGTGCGAAGAGGTCCATGCATTAATCAACGTACCGTTGATGGTCTTCTTCTCGCAGGTGATGTAGTCGCCGACGCGGCATCGAGAGCAGCTGAGGCAGTGGCCGCCATGCCAGCCGCCTCCTACGCGTTGACCCAGCGTCCATATCTTCTCAGTTGCGGGGATAGCAACGACGTCACCGACTATCTCGTGGCCCGGAATGCGAGGGTACTGGATGGGGATCCGGAACGTCCCCCGAGCAGCCTCATCGCTGATGGATAGATCAGCTTGAAGAGCTGCGTGGACGGCAGCTCATGAGTCCCTGCTCACCTGCCACATACGCCACATGCAAGTATTTTGACTACAATCTCGCCTTCAGTAGGGTCTCTCCACGGGACGGTAATTCTTTGGAGGTCCCCGTCCTTCTGGAGGAAAGCGTAAGCTGGGTAGGAGTCAGGATGAGGAAGAGACCGCGCCATCGCTGCTATGCTAATGGTGACGACTTTCTGCGGATGCTTCGAGCGTTCTTATATGACCCTCATTCTCATCGATGCTTCTCATCTACTGAACCTAGATCGCGGCGGGATCGCCCGCTCAATTTAAAGTTATGTGAGGCGTGGTGGATTAGGGCTGCTTCTGGCCTCCGGTTCTACCATAGCGAACTCCTAGGAGTGGATGAGGAAGATCGTCTACTGCCCAACTCCGGAGAATTGTGCGCTTCCAACGTCCACCAGCCTGCATCGGACTTGAACTGGTATCTATCTTTAGCTCGCTTCTCCTCCAAACAGACGGAGCAACATACCTCTGCCCAGCGGCTCCTGAGCAAAGCATAACAGTGCATGACCACCGATCGCGGCGAGTTTATATGCCCTGAAACGGGTTCGCCGCTCGATGAGGCACGAACACTCGTCCAACAACGACATACAAGGAGACATGTCACACGCTGCTTGGATGATGCAGGTCGGCGTTGAGAATCGTATATATCTTAGCCCCCAGAATATCCCATCTGGGAGCTAGCATTGACCGTGAAAAATATGTGCACTCACAACCTGTTGATAGTCGATACGAGACCGCTGCATTGTCAGGCATCCGGTGGCGTGTCCCTGCGAGCTCGGCAGGTGGGGTATACGCGACTCTCATGCCATAGTCTGTCACGTTCGATGCAAAGGATGATGTATTATGACTTCGGCAGGCATAGGGACTAGCTTCTCATGACGGAGATTAGAAGAACAAGTTATGCTGCGAGGTTGAGTCGCGCCGGTGGTTTTCACCAACCGGCCCTAAACCCAGGTCATGTTCACGTGCGGGTTCGCCACCAAGCGCCCATGGCACTTCAATCGACTCGCATGCTGCTATTCGGCCTGGTATATGGATTGACTGATCTTGACTACAACAGGGCCTCGCCAGCATGCACGCATTGTGATTTCTTCATATATTGCATGAGCATAAATGATCCAAGTGAGTTATATTGCCTGTATGGACGACACACGGCGGTCACTTTACTTCTTCGTTCTTCAAGATGATGTGTTCTCCATCGCCTCCAGATTCACCGTCTACTCGGGAAGATCCTGCTTTCTTCTGTAAAGGTCTGAGTTTCTGTGAATACGTGGCCTGTCACACTTCAGGACACCCTCGAATCGCCGATTGCGCCTACCCGCCGCTAAAACGACTGCCACGAGGTGGCTCTTCACCTCAGAAGCGACGCAAGGTGTTGCAGGCGACAATTACGCTCAGGGAACTGTTGGTAGCGAGCCATTTTCCTTTGCGAGCTGTCACAAGTGGGCTCGCCTATTACCGCCTATCCGGCTTGCGGAGACGGCGAAGGCAAACGTCTAATTCGCTATCGGCACCGTCGTGGTATAAAGCCCTTCTCTGCCCACCAGGAAACGTCGTTCCTCCGCGTCTTCCTAGGTCTCCACCTTGATCCCCGCCCACGTCACTCTTTTCAGTCCTTACCCTTTGTCGCTCGTGATCACGATGATGCACCTTAACTTCATCCTTGCCGCTCTCGTTGCTGGTGGTATGCTATTTCTGCGACCATAGAGACCCTTGCGCTAATTGAATTGTGTACATGGCTCAGCCTCCGCTGTGCCCATAGACACTACGTCTCTCGCTTCCCTCACCACTTCTATACATGCCAACCCGGCTGAGCTGCGTTCTGTCAACAGCCCATCGAGCGTCTTGAATACTGTCACTGCTCCTCAAGTCATTACATCTGTGCCTGCTGCCGCCGCAACGTCCGCGAAGTCGGTCCCGAGTTCCATATGGCAACAACACGAACGCCGCGTCCTCGACTTCGACAGTGTCCGCCTACCAAAGACCTCCGTTGGCGCCGTACCTCTGCCTCCCTTTGGCAACGGCGACAAGACCATCGCGGTGCGCGCGGCGACAGATCCCGTGGGGAGCATCCCCACCGTCATCGTGCCTTTGCCGACCGCGACGCCCCCGAACGCTCACTTACCTCGCGCGGATGCAGCTGCTGGCGTTTCCGTCTCTGCTGCTGATGTCGAAACCGGCTGCGAGGGAGAGGTCAACGCAGAGCTCCACGCGCGTACCGTTGGTCTCTCGCGCACTGCGGCCGTCGTTCCTCGCCCACACACCACCGTAACCCTCAACAGCATTAAGGTGCGCCATGTCACTATCCCGACTGGTGCCGCAAACGTGGTGGATGTAGCCCCCAAGGTTACTGGTACGGCAGCCGCGGCTGTCCATGCGTCTGCGTATTTGAGTGCGGCGTGAAAGATTGCGACGGTATGTAAAGTCATGTACATTGCGGCGTTATATTCGCTGACAAGTTGCTTGTCCACAGACGCTACTTTGAATGGCGAAGACGATCGGGTCGCGGACGGACGTCATAAGCTGTACACACGCATAATCAGTCCTGGTTTACAATATACCAATCTCGTAACTCTCTACCGTTTCCATTGAATCGAGTGTAATCGCTGGAACCACGGTGCAGGCCGGATTGTTTATGCTCATTGACAGACCATTGACGGCAGTATCAGTACATGAGATGACGGGAGTCTGTTGGTACTGGCTATGCGCCCTCCACTTTCAAACTTGAGTGAGGCGAAGACAGTTGCTCATCATGTCCCCACTGCAGCGCTGCGGTTCTAAACAGGATGACCCGTGCTTTCTTTCCACGACGTACGCCCGTATGATCTCTCGTTCCTGTGTAGAATCTGGGGTGGAGAAGGATCATGTGTGATTCGGCGAATACGGAGGAAGGACAAGGCTCGAGTAGCCTACAACGAGGTATGTAAACCTCTGGGATATCGGGCCAGGGAGGTATGAGACCTCCCAGTCACGCATATGATTGGCTGTTAGCCTGGGACATCAATACGGGCGCATCAGATTTTGATAGCTAGAACGGTCTACGTACTCGAGGCAACTTCCAGGAGCTCAAGTAAAAACCGTACTCCCTCTGAGGAGGTCGCAGTAATTGACGAGGCAGCATTTTTCCAACAGATGCAGAGTGTTGTGCAGGCGTGGCGGGTGAGGAGGGTGGGGGACGCGCGACATTGAAGACCGCCGGCGCCGGCGCTATGGGCGCATCAGCGCGCAAGTTTTGATGATCAAAGTGCCCCAATTGGTATTGTGGCGCTTGATGCAAGATTTTAGGGTTTGCGCGAAGAGGACCCGCCATTTGTGCTCCCTCCCCTCCCTCGCTGCGCTCGGGGGGTCCCCCGAGCCGGGAGCACTCAGGCGGGCACTCTAAAGCCTCGTTCGCGCGATAAATACAGACGGCCTCCCCTCTTGGGGGAGGAGGAGGTGTGAGTATCGCCTAACCCAAACCCAAACCCAAACCCTAACCGAACCCAAACCCGAACCCAAACCCGAACCCTAACCGAACCCTAACCGAAACTCTAACCGACGCGTATCACTAAGACCGCGTGGGTTGGGAGGTTTGATACCTGCCTGGCCCGATATCCCAGAGGTTTGCAAACCTCGTTGTAGTCTCTACAAGGCTCTACATCAACGACAGTTGTATAGACCAGCGAACAAGGGTATAAAGATTACGAGAGTCGAGAACGAGGCTGTACGTATATCTGGCATACACACATTCTGATGTATCTATACATATGGGAAGCGAAGCGGAACAAGGGTAGTCGGTTCCCTGCGTGGGTCGATTTGAAGTCGTCCGGGATGATGTCCTGTACTCGGCGACCCAAGACAGTCCCATTCTATCCTGTAGACCATAACATTGTCCCGTCTGGAGTGAATGCAACATGCATGACCGCGTCGCCGTGATCAGAGAGCGTCGCCATACAAGACCCATCGCTGATCCTTCACACCCTCACCGTCAAGTCACTGGATGCAGAGGCGATATACCTCCCACACGGGAAGAAGCATGCTGCTGACACCAACCTCTCGTGCCTCTCGAGCGAGTGGATCGTGGCACCATTACGTGCGTTCTATGTCTTCACTGTCTTGATGGCAGCGGTGGTATGCTTGGCATCAGATATGTCTGTACGAGAAGAGTGTATCAGTGGGCAGGTGACGGGGAACGACCAGCTACGTCCTCGTATTAGAGGCTAGACGATCCGACGTCCGCTGGTCTGTAGAAAGAGAAGCACATCCGCAAGCAGGTATCTCAAAAGCGCTAGAGTAATGATGAGGAACATCAGCAAAAGTGCAAAACGATCTTCCATGATTGGGTCGATTGGCCATGGGAGCTAAAATCGTGCCAAATTGGTTTCGAAGCCAATTGGGCTAATTGGTCCGTTCTGCGTGAATTCGGAGGGAGGCATCGCCTTGGGCGGGATAGATGATCGCAATTCTGTATGTATACGGGCGAAGGTCTCCGAAGGAAGTCCAATGTTATACACGAGCATATAGCGAGGAAGCAGTGTTACATCACCATGTTCTTGCGTTCGGTATCGTGACTCTGTGTGATTACAGTAACAACAACAGCGCAAAAACCACAGTCACTATGCAACGGGAGCTTGTACGAGGTGAGATGAAGAGAAAATCTAGAGCGACCTGCAAGTCGTCTTGCGCACCCTCTAACCCGTACCCTCTGAGGTTTACGACGTGTAACGAAGCGTGTCTCAGGTTGCGAGACACGGTCTTGCGTCGTTCCAATCTTCCTCAGCGGAGTAGTGCTGTTTAGAGTATCCTGCACCGTGCCCCTTGCGAGGCGCCTAACGCACCTGAATATTGTTCTGGATCCATGCTGTGGCTCATGCCCCATTCGCTGCCTGTGCCGTCACGGGACATGTTGGGCGCGAGGTGAGCCTCGTCGTTGTCGCGAGTGCTGTCCGTGGAGTCGCGCCATCGACGGGTCGACCGAGGTGTTGATGCCGACGGACAGGAAGCACGAGTACTGGAGGGTTATAGGCGTGCTGAAGTTTTGAACAATGTCGCCTTAGGCCATTGGTACCACTAAGCAAGTGCTCGTCAGATGCACCAGAGCGCGACAGACGACCCATGAGGGACTTACGGCGGCAATAAATGACAAAGGACAGAAGACGCCAATCGCCAGACAGATGGGTACCATGTGGTACACGCTGTGAATCCCGAACATCTGCGGGCGGAGGCCACCCCACGATATGCCGTTGGCCGCGGGGTTCGGATGTCAGTGACGCAGAGTTCAAGATTGCGCCAAGTGCACTCACAGTGGGAACCCTGGGCGGTCTGACCCAACCACAGGCACGAGAGGCACTGTTCGCGTCAATGATCGTGACCATCATCACGTCTGCCAAATGGGGCGGAGTAAGCAAAGAGCAGGACGGATTCTCGAAAATGACTGGCCCAGCTGAGGGTGCGAGCACATCGCGCCGGTGTCCTGGTAGCGCATTCCGCCTGTACAATGTGAATCTGTGTGGAACGGTGCTTCATCCTCCGTGGGTGAATAGAACGGGTCTTCGGACGACCACGCCGAGTGTGAGGGACCTGCGACTGGTCCAGGCGGTGTATTTGTGGGCTGCACGTTGAAACGCAAGGGATCTTGGACGACGTTAGAGCCACCAAAGCTAGTCCGGCGACGTGCAAGGCTGTCGGCAGAGAGAGGTGTAGTTGGACGAGAGCTGACTAGCCCAGCAGGAGTCCCGGTATAATCTACAGCGGAAGAGGAAGAGTGCTGCAAGACAGAGGGTGGGCTAGCGTCCATGCAGTTAGAAGGGGGAGAATGATACGAGCTCACTGTACATAACGGCGGCGACAGGTGGATGAGCGTTGCTACCTTGTACGGGAACAACGCCCAAAGTCAGAGGGCTCACAAGAGCGTGTTGATTATGGCTTTAACTTGTTTCGGGAGTGATGACGCTGCCCGTCATTATGATCTGACGCCCAGACGCGTCATTTCCCATTTCGGACAAGCTTTCGCTCCTCTCTCTAAGCCTTAAAGCTCTCGGATGGCCGCGTTTTCTTCAAGTCCCCATCTTGTCCTTGTACCACCACTGTCCTGCAGACAAATTCCTTCCGCTTCTCACACGTCTTGTCCTTGCCCAGGAACTGAAGTTGTGAGCCCTTTTTAGGGCTAACAAACACTTGCACCTCTTGCTTGGCAGGCTCAATACTGTGACGCTCCTCGATGAGTACGACCCGCTTCTCTTGTTCAAGCATACCGCACTTACCCGTTGGGGTACAGAACAATGAAGCACGCCATCCACTGGTAAGCCAGTACTGCATACCTTGCGTAGATTCTACAACAGCACATGCATGTTGCCCCGCCTATTAGGCGTATCAAACATGCATGTTCTACCACCTGCCTATTCAGGTTCTGCCAACCGCTCGCAGTATTGGTTGCCATTCGCGCTTCCTCCTCGCTTTGTACCCATAGATTAGCAACTCTAGTGGCTATATGTTCAACGGCATGACGTTTGCGCGCATAAATAACATGAATGAAAATGAAAATGATATCATAAATGATGAGGGAGGCACCAGGTTCGAACCTAACACTGCCTTGAAGCGCTAACATCTGCATGTCCTGACCACTCCGCCATAGGTCTGTTGAACTTCAGGGAGTGTCTATTAACTAGACGCTTCTGGAATTTCCGTATGCCAGTCGCCCGGGCAAACATGCATGTTTCCCCATCTCCCGGATCATTTCCACTCTGGGCGGCCCCACACCAACATGCATGTTAGCATTCATCCGGTAAATCCCTACCGGCCCAGCCCATATCAATTCCGTCCTACGGTACAAATGTAAAACGGAAAATGAGATACGAGAGAACGCGTACGACGCCTCAAAGGTCGAGATGAAGTGCTTGACCTTTGAGGCGTCGAGAGCCCGTTTCGAATCCCGTCGCGTTGCCCATGCTCAAGTAGGCAATCGCTCAGTGTCCATCGATCGGCTAAACGGTAGGACGTCGGACGCACCGAGGACAAAGACGACAACTCGGTGCCCTCTCGAACGCCGCGCCAGGCTGTCGCCCGTACCGAAGAGGACGAAGGTGAGGGCGAACTGCCTGTGGGGCGCCGTGATGGTGCGGAATGGGGAGACAACGACCACAGGAGGCCTTACCAGAGCGCGTGAGGAAACATTGACGCTGGGAGACGTGATGGCTGGACCCCCTGGGGGATGTGAACGAGCGAGCGGTGGATCGACGTGCAGGCAGCCGCAGCCACTGGATAGACGGTTGCTCCGAGGACACCACTTTTGAGCCTTCCGTCATAGCGCAGTCATTTCCAAGACGAGATTGCTCTTTCTTGATCTGGAAAGCGAGCTCGTCAGTGTCGCGCACAGCACAGAGCAACTGATACCTTGGTTGTAACCAGGAAAACCGCCATCTTCTCGTGACTAGTCTCCGCAACGAAGCGCCCGGCCATAGTAAGGGCAGCCTTGCGACGCTGGCCAGCGCTGGGCGGGAGATCAAAGTGTCTGCGGTGGCGTGCGCGATGGACGCCTCGATCAATCGACCCGGTCTTATCTCCGACAAAATAGGCTTGTCGTGGCTGTGCCCACGACATACGCCGAATGCTGTGATGCAAAGAGGCGACGTCATATGTACCTGGTAGTGAAGATGGACGTACCCAGGGTGTGCGTGTAAAGCAACACAAATTATAGCACAAGATAGCGTGGCTGACCCATATGCTCACACAAAGACTGAGAATTTCAAGACAATCTGAGAGTTGCGCGACAACGTATCGTACAAGCGATCGATCTCCATCTCAGGCTGGGGCGTTCTCCTAATACAACACAAACGTGTGCTTGTCCCAGCCATACAGCGTACGGAGCTGGTTCTTCCACCTAAAGATGGTCAATGTCGTACTAGATTTGAGGTATATTAACTTACCGGTCTTGCGTGGCGAAAGGGACTCTATCTATATACTTGTACTTGCGGCTCGACCTCTGCGATCCCAATGAAAATGGGCGCGGCTATGCGATGGACCACACGTACCTTGATGTAGAAGAACTGACCGCCCTGCCCTCCCGCAGGATCCAGACGGCCTTGCGTGGGTTCCGTGAATCCGATCGATCGCATGGCCTAAGTATCGGAATCAGCCTGGACGAATCGTAGCCGCGAGGAACGATGGTCGCTCGACGATGATGTGCGTCGCCGCAGCACCGGGTGCCCGCATAGCAAGGGGGAGGAGAGCAAACGCCGGAGGGGGAGACGTAGGGACAGACATACCTTAGAGAAATCCCCCAGAGAGAACTTGTATCGTGCTTCGATATCCTTTTTGAAGATGGACGCGAAGACCTGTAATTTTTGAGACCACTGATGCGCGCATCATAGCGGCGTTGTACTCACTTTGTAGTGCTTGTAGGAAACTTGGATGGCGGCCATGCTGTGACGAGAAACAGATGAGCGGCCGACGAGTAAGGGAATACGACGCAGAGAGGACGAGATGGAGAGTAGCGCAGTAGTCGCACTTGTTGGGCGCGAGAGGTGGGAGTTGTGCGACTCACGGGGCTCTATTGCAGAGAGACCAACCTGTGAATCAGAGCTGGGGTGTGCAGATGTCGACGCAGGAGAGTAGACTGTGAGTGTCAGTTGTGCGGGATGAAGAGACGATGGCGCGCGATGAGAGCGACAGCGGACGCGATCGTACAACAGCGGGATGTACGCGTGCGCTCCTCGCAGTCGTACCCACGGCCCCATCTTCGAGCCCAAATGCTACACTCTTCGCACAGCGTTCGGACGGTGCGCGAACGACGCTGATGCGTTTCGTTGAACTGACCTTTGTCTCATCTCATCAGCTCGCCGCCCATTCCCCTCATCAGTTCAGATTACCAGTTGGACGATGCGATGTTCGTACAATTACTCCACAGACCTCAACATTCTGGACCTCGTACATGTTCGAACCCCGGACCGCACGCGTTCGAAAAGAGACCGTCTGCGCCTTCACACGAATCCGACCTCGTGTCCCATCAAACCTTCTGGAAAGCGCGTCAGCGCGCGAGCCCAGAAAACCTCTCTAACGAGAACGTACCCAAGCACACCATCCGCGCGTCGCGCTCGCCAAGTTTCGTCTCCGCGTACGTCAACATGCATGACGTGCAGAAGAGGTAGGTTTCTGGACCCTCCATCATGTCCCCATCGTCCATCACACCGCCAAACAACATGAGAAGCAGCCCGATGAGAATGATGCGCGATCCCGACCGCACGAAACCCACTCACAAAAGGATCCTCGCGAGAACATCACACGCACTGGTGCCCGCCCTCCTACCGAACGCGTCCAGTACGACTTCGACTTCTTGCCCCGCTGGCGGACAGCCAGGCAGTCCATGTACTGCTGCGCGACAAGCTCGAACACGTCCTCGGCGACCGGCTTGAGCAGCACCTCCTTGAGCGCAGCCCCAGGCCCGTCGACTGTCTCGACGCCAAATGCATTGGTGTGCTTGGAGATGAGAGAGACGAAGTAGCACGGCTCTGAGGTTGTCTTCTTGGTTGATGCGCGGAACTGGGACGGGATGGAGCGCATAGGCAGGAGCGCGTTGCAGCCACTACGGGAGAGGATGAGGGCGATCTGGCTCGCCGGGATCGCGACGAGGGACGTTAGACGATAGCGAGAAGTGAGCCCACGAAGGACGTACCCTATGGAGTGGCCTCCTGCTCGTCTTCGTCCAGCGTCGAGTCGGGCAGCACAATGTTCAGCAGCACTATCCACAACTTCATGACACCCTCCTTCCTGCCTTGACGTGTGTAATCGTCCTGACGAATTTCTGCGATAGTGTCTCGTCTGCAGCAATGCTCTCGGCGGGCGCGCCCTCAGTCGGTACTGGTTTAGAAGAACGTGTCGTCGGTGAGGCCGCGGACTAGTGGGCTTGTCAGTGGTTGCACACAGTAGGTACGAACGAACACGGACAACAGCTCCTATTCGCTCTATTGCAACCGCATGCGCGACCTTTGCAGTGGGCTTAGGAGGCGGTAGACTCTTGTTCAGCCAGGTCCGGTAGTACCTTCTCAGGATCTGCAGACGGTCTATATTGAGGACAGGTGTTGTCGTCACCGACGCAAACACACGCCCGATCTCTGTTGAGCGCCGCGAGCGGTCGTCCGCATCGTCGAGGATATGCGCCAGGTTCGCTGTCGAGGAGTTGTGCGAGTCCGCGCGGAGCGCGAAGTCGAACGGGTTCTGTCTGGATGCGAACGCGGTGAATGTTGTGTGTGTTTGGGGGGCCGCGGCAGCAGGGACGCTGTCTTGGGTGGTGCGGCGGGCGCAGCACCTGTCCCGGAGGGCAGCGGGGTACAGCGGAGTATGCGGAAGAATGGGATTGACGGGCTGCAAGTGCACCGGGGTATATCGTCTGCGCATCATGTCAGGGCGACTTCATACGGTATGATGGTGGACTGTACCTTCTTGACGAAGTCCCGGACAACCTCTCGCTGGAGCACGTCCTCTGCATCTCGCCAGAGTCCGAGCATATCATACGTGCGCAGACACTCTGTCACGTCCGCGTATAGCTTCGACTTCTCGTGGTGGGTCGGCTTGCTCGGCGTGCCGTGGCCGCCGACGAGCGAGTTCAGCGTCCTCGCGAACATCGAGGTCGGGGGATAGCCTGGAAGTCATACGCTCGACACGCGGCATATGCGTCAGGTTCAGCGCGGGGTCGTTAGTGCGACTCCGCGCTCACAAGCGCATTAGGTTGATTGCACCGCGGTGGGTGCTCGCTCGTACCAGGTGGTTGGATCCCATTGCATCTCCCGAGCTCATTCGTCGCCGAGCTCATTCGTCGGAGGTAATTCTGGAGGCCCGTGCACCTGCGTCTCGAGCGCCGCTGATGCGTGGAATACGCCACGACGTATGCCATATGGTCAACGTTCCAGGCGCGCAGGTCCTTGGGACTTTATCTCGGTCGGTTCTTCCCCGGGTCTATCCGTCTCCTCCCGGGGCTATATCTTCGCATTGATGGCGACCGGACAACTAGGAGACGGCTCCTTGCGATCGTTTCGCACGCGGGTTGCTTGTACTCGTCTGCTGATGATGGTGTATCCCCCCAGCCCCTTCGAAGACCTCCCGCGCGCGGGGGCCGTCGTGCCAGGTCGTCAGCGTCAGGGCCAGTGCCCTGCGACTCTGCTACGGGCAGTCCGCTCCCACATTCGCTGGACTGGCTCAGCGGCCAACGGCTCCGTCAAGCCAACTCTCAAGCCTCGCCCCCATTGGCTCGTCCGCGATCATGGGACACTCACCGCACGTCCCGAGATGGTGACCCTCACGCGCGCGTTCGCTTACCCCACCACCATCTAGTTTTCTGGCCCGTCAATGTCGGCCACAGCGGGGGCCCGTCACGCTGACCAACATGACGGACGATGTGCGCGCCATTCCGGCGACGAATCGTGCTTTATGGGGCAACAGCTATCCGCCTCTGGGTGGTCTAGGTCAATGTCCCGTCACACTTTATAACGAATATCACTTACCTAGACTACTACGACGTTTGGAGGGATTGCAGGCCGTCCCGCTGGCCCCAGGGTTCAGTTGCGCTCCTGATCACTCTAGACTACCAGTCTCACCTGCACCTGACATTCAACAAATTTCGGGTGACCTCGCGCCTTGTTGTACAGTCGCTCCCATCGAAACGCCTGCCTGAGCCGCTTTGTAGATTACAAACGAGCAACCATGCGTTGTGACTTACCTGCGCGCATACGCGGCGGCCCCGCGCCTGCCCTCTTCTTCGCGCTGAGCCGCCCGCTGGCACCATTCCCGTTCACTGTCAGCAAAGAACGCCGCGCTCCTAAATATCTCTTCGCGTCGAGTCTTGAGTTCCTCCGTCCAGCGTTGTGTGAGCGCGTTATGCTTGAACCAATGGACGCGCATGCCTGTGAATATGTAAGCCGCTGGCTCATGTCTATGGCGCATGTACAGCTCACTAGCTTCCAGGAAACTCCGCATCTCGCCAGCCTTCACTTGGTTGACAAAAGAGAAATCACCCCAGATCCACGAAGGTAGCCTGTAACTGTCGCCTAACTGCTGCTCCACCGTCGTTAAGGTGAAGGCCCGCAAGTCCTCGTCGTTCAGGATTCGGAACTTCTTGTGATCGTTGGGCATGCCCAGGACCAGCATGATGTCGCGCAAGGCACGATAGCGATCCTTCGCGCGATGCTGCGCTTGTCGCTTCTTCTGCAACCTACCATCTAACACGGTATTGTGCCGTATGCCTGAGCCTTGCCTTTTTCGTTTCTCGAGCGATTCGAACGTCGCGATGTGCAGGCGGAGTTCGTCGAGCGCTTCGTCGGCTTGCCCTTCCCGCAGCGCGAGCTCGGTCTGGACAGCCTGCCTCATGTCCGGGTGTTGACGAATTTTGCTGTGATAGGTAGATGGCAAGGCTACGCCAAGGTCCGCGAGTTCATCGGCCATGGCGTTTAGAGCTTTCTGGGCGCGCGATTCGTTCTTGCGTTTCTTTTTCCCTCCGGCAGCGGTGGTCGCCACTGTTATCGGTGATACTCCCATCGACGCGTCGTCGCGGGTGTCGCGCTTGGGGAAGGTAGCAGGTAGTACTTGGTCCCTATAAGTGTTGCAGGCACTTCGGACAGCCGGTTCGATCCACTTCTCGAACTCTTCTTGACACGCCAGACGGTCTCGCCGAAAATCGTCCATCTTCGCAGCTAGAGCTGTGCGGTCCTTCTCAGTGCCCCGGCAAGTGGCGATCTCCTTCTGAAGCTCGATCCTACGCGGCCGTCAACACTGTGCAGGTTCATTGGGTTCACCCTGATTCACTTACCGCGAATCATCAAGGGTGAGCGCGCCCCGCATCGCGGTGACCATTCCGACCCCATGTACGTCACCCGAAGCCGCCCGCTGCTCGTTGAGTTGCTCAGCGATCGTGCTCACCGTCAGAGCTATGCGGTATTGTGAGCATTCGGCCCATGCGATGGCACTGTCACTCACTGATGTCCGCAGGGGGTTCGAACGGGCTCTCCAGAACCTTGTGCTTGGTGATGTCGACCACATCGCGATTCCACTGGGCATGCGCGTCCTGCCATTCAGCTAAGGTACCCAGCGGGAATCGATCGTTCACAGAGGCTTCAACCGTTTGGAGGTACTCCGTCGTCGTGGCCAGGCGTTCCTCGGCGATCTCGAGCTTGTCATATAACTCCGTCGCTGATCCCAGGTGAGCGGATGTTTGCCATGAGATGCAGAGTGACACATACTTATATGATGGATGCGTCGCACATTGTGATCCGAAAACAAGTCGTTCAAAGCGTCGTGCCGATGTCCACTGGACATTTCCTTGGTGCGGCGGGACACACCGCTGATGATGCCCCACAACCGCTCGCAGGTCTCCCCACAGTCCATGCACGAGCCGGGAAGGTGATGGAGCGAGAAGTACGGACGACACGCCGGTTTGTGCATGCTTAGATGGTACTTGCCTACCGCAGCTATGATGGTCGGGACATCTGGGTCGTCGATGGACTCCAACTCGTCGAGCATCTCCTTCGGGAACTCCGTCTCCAAACGTTCGCGTAGGTGGATGATGTACTGGCAGTGGATGTCGTACGAGCCGATCAGCAGCTTGAGCTTGAGATACCGCTGTAGCGACGAAACCATGGCGATGTCCACATACATGTACCTTGGGTCCAGGTCATATCAACAGTGGCACATAAAACGCACATGAAAGCTCACCCTTCGGCTTTGGTTAGATCAACGACCCCGCCTTGCATCACCATCATATGGCGACACACCACAGCGATGATGCCTGACACCGGGCCTTTGTACTTCCCTGAACCCATGGCGGCAAACTCGTTACACGTAGACGACTGTGAGCGCTGATAAGCAGGTCGGTGGACGTCAAAGGGCGGACGTGGCCTACTTCGTATTTAGGTCGCGGCGCTTGAGCGATATACTTCTTGAAATCGTCTTCGTGAACGAAGTACGCGGCACCCTTGGTCAGAGGAAAGTCCTTAGGGTCCGTGTGCTTGAGCTTCAGGTTGAAATGGAAATTGCCGTCAATCGAGTAATGCAACGCGTCCAGATATCTGTTTCCACGAGTGAAAAGCGTGACCCTCTACACCAGCGTCGGCTACACTCACTGGAAGGCTGGGTCGCGATCCTCCCATCCTGGGCGAATGTTCTTGCCCGGTTGAGGGCAAGCCGGGCACAGGACCGCAAGACATCCAATGTTCAGCAGGCGCGTCGGGTCGACACCGGCTCGTCGACACGCGCGCACGAAGGTGAAGAGGCGGTATGAGTTGTTGAACTCACGATAACGATCCTAAACCAATGAGCTCTTCGTAACGCGGAGGCGGGAGAATTACGTACCTTCACGTCCTCAGCGCAGACGTTGTCCGTCTGGCGCTTGAGGTGAGCGAGATAGTCGTGGACGTTCACTTGCCCGTTGAGATTGAGGCTGTGGAAAGCCTCCAGCGCTGTCAATGAGGTGGCTGTATGAGGGCGTTCCCACGTGGCCGGCCATAGTCCTGCCCGCATCAGCTGCTCGACTTCGCTCCCGGAGCCTTCGCAAGCGCAGTACACAACGGGCAGGTCCATGATCCCGTGCTCGTGGAGAACGACAAGATTACTCGCCTTTGAGAGCGACTTGCCGCACAGGGCGCCGCCGTGACCAAGGCGAAGCTCATACCCGATCTGGGGCAGGGCGATTTTGGTCCAAATCCGCTTGTCGAGGTCCCACTGTAGAATCCGGTCGTAAGGCCGCTCGCAATGCGAGCGACACATGCATTGCGCACAACGCATTGCCAGAGGTGCGCAATCTTTGCATCGAAACAGAGTCCGCAGTTCCGGAGGGTTCGTGGTCAGCGGGGCAGCGCACGAGGGACAAGCTACTAGGGAGCTTGGAGGCTCCTCCAGCTCGTCCCATAGTTCTCTGGCGCGCATCGCATGACCTTCGTCAAGGTACTTGGCACATCTCGTCGAAGGCTGCCACGCAGGATTAGGGAAGAGTCAGCTTTCTACTCTAGAAATACTCACCAAATGGTAGCTGACATCGATTCCATCCTCCTCCCCTGGCTCTTCCGCTTCGCTCTCCACATCATCCTCCACCCATGCCTTGCGCTTAGCGGGAACGGGAGCAGACTGATCGGACGAGGGGATGCTGTCCTCGGGTTGAAATAACGTGTTGTCCCACTGGATAGGGGGAACTGGAGCGAAGGGAGGGGGTTCGGGGTGATCAGTGCGTGTTTGGCGAGGGCTGGCTCTGAATAGATTTCGGAGTGCTTTCTTCCGAGGAGTGGTGGGCTCCTCTGCCCGCACCCTGCGGCGAGAGAGCGAGGCACCCAGCGTCTTCAACGCCCCAAAACCCATGGCGTAGCGCAAGAGGGGCCTCAAGGTGGGCCGAGCGCAGGGGACAGGGGACGTAGCGCGACAGTGTAGGGTCCCAAAATTGAAGGAAGGGCGCGCATCAATGGTGGCGCTCCTTTATCGCCATCTCTCTGCCTCCCCAGTATTTGCATGCCTGGTAGCTGGACAGGTTTTTGCCACATTTGTTCCCCTGGCCTCTTTCCGGTGGTTGTACAGTAGTGTGGCGAATGGTTTCAAAACATTGCATTAGAATCACCCCCTCGCCGCTTCTGACATGGCAGGCGGTCAGCCACTGGCCTGACATGACTTCGGCACAGGCATTGCCCATGCGATATGCTATGCGCGTGATTTGCCCCAAAATGGTCGGTAATGCCTAGACATGCGAGTTCCCGCATGGTACCCGCGTGAACTCTCACTTGACTAGTGAAGCTGCGCAAAATGGGTAATTGAAACCGCACATCGACCACCCATTCCAACTTCGGCGCCCGCAGGCGTGCGATAGTATTCGTTGACTGAAGGCATTGCGTACTCAACGATCCATAGCCCGGACATTTTCATAGGACTTGATTTCTAGTAAAGCGGGCTCACCTGAAGATAGATCTGACGATCTGCCCCTTGACTTGCCATTGCGACGAATGCGGCCAGTGCTCTTTGGTTGCCGATGCGTGCGATCCAGGGATTATGAAGTAGACTCACTCCTAATAGAACCTTTGAAGGCGCGCTCCGACTGTCTTAATGCCCTCGCGGACATACAAGGGGCGCTATCTTCTGTAGACCTGGTGCGCCTATACTGAACAGCATGTGCAACTATACCAAAGTGAGCGAATGGGACACGCTCGACTGCGGACCATGTCCGCTGGAACGTATCCCACAGTCTGAAGTCGTCGCTGGCGACGCCAACGATGACTACAGTGACTTTTGACGAGCCATAATGTATGAGATATACTGACCGGTGAGGCCCAATTCGTGGGCTCTTGTTGATCGATGCGCGCCAGGGGTGGATGGGAGATGTGTGCAGTACCGCTTAAACAGTTGGCGAGCCAGAGCAGACGATGTGGCGATCGGCCGAGCATAGCGCATCTGGTCGTTCTGCCTGCTTGGCGTTGAGTATGTCATTGATCTCGGTCGCTCAAGGCTCCGATCTCTGCGCAAAGGACGTGTGGGGGGCGTTGGGGAGGCGGAGGGTAGAGGAGTGTATGCGCATCCACTTGCCTCACGTCAGCAACACCTTATTTACTGCATTGAAGCCATCCTGCTGTGTGTCCTTAACAGTGTTTGCTACATTATGAATGGTAACCTTATACGTACTTATGTACTACATCTAAATAGCCTTAATGGGTATTGAAAGCTCAACAGGGTCGTTCTTTTGTGTTGCATCGTGGGACACTCGCTTATCTGTGTGGTGCACGTCACGCAGCGTCAATCCCACTGCATGTGCAATTGGTTCCGCGAAGCTGAATGGCGTCCCATAGAACTTCTCTTTGGTAGACTCCGTTCCTGCTGCAACCTCGCTCCCTACTATCACTCATACATGTGGTAACTCAGGAGTATCTCATTCTCTTTGATCCACGCTACATCAATTCCACTCTGCTTGCTTTTTCCATTACCGCCGCCACCACCAGCAGTAGCGACAACCCCAGAGATCATTCCGAGGCCCATCCACCCCGTCCTCATCAAGCGTGAGGCCTGTGCATTGTTGTCCCTTAGACACTCAGCACGCCTTTATTACATACCAAGTGGCTGCGCGGCTTGTAATTGGTACTCGCCGCAAGCTCCCTCACGTACGCCCAAGAATCCCAGCCCCTTTGGCATGTGAGTATTTGCTCCTCATAAGGCAATAACACGTCCAGAGCAACCGCTGTTAGTTGGACATTGCAGCCTGGATACGTGGCAGCGCGACCGTATCTCTGTACCCATTCGTAGCATATTGACCGCCATAGTAGATTGAACAACAGACTATGGACATGGCCCCCTCGGGGATTAATTCTACATGTGCTCCTGGCGATGGAGATGCAGATACAGGGAGCAAGTCTGTTGCGCGCGACTCCGACCACAGCAATCATCGTGCGCCCTCGTATCCAACAACGTCGTGCGTTTCCAAATTGATGAAGCCCAAGAAGCACGCTCACCTTTACCCGCAGATCGCTCAACACTGTGCGCGATGTGGACACGACCGCCGGCGGGCATGGTCTGCCTGCGCGTGTACATAGGCATGCCTCCTATGCATGTTCAGTCGCGCGCGAACTCACATTCTATTCTAGCCCGATACGCTCACCCGAAGTCTCTCCTGAGGCCGCCTTCCGTCTGGTCCCAAACCGGGCTGGCATAGGTCAGTACGGGTACAGCTTGGGAGTGCAATATGACTGATGATCCAACAGCGCCGTTGGTGTGTCAGGCTTGGGAGGCCAAAGTGGCTAGCCGCGGGGTGCTAGATGGGTTCGTGTTCACCTCACCAAACATGGAGTTCGTTCCCGAGTACCCTGTGTTTCGGGAGGTCATCACTACATACGAGGATGGCCGATGGGGTGTGCACGAATACTCACGATGGCCCCAGCCTTATGTGGAAGGCATGCACCACATCGCCTGTATCCCACGCCAGCCAAACCTCCCACATCTGCCCCGAGTGTTGTTCAAGTCTCTCTACCCGAAGCACGACTGGGCCGAGAGAACCGAGTGTCACGGACGTTGGACAGACGCCCCTTTTTGCCGCCCATTCCCTTCCCTTTGACGCCCACCTTCCATTTCCGGACCGTTTCCTTTCCTAGCTCATCCCAGTTTGGACACTGTAGATACGTTCCCACAGCCGCATGCTACGTTCCCGTGATCGCCATGCCCTTGCCTTTTCTTTCTCGCCCTTTGTTCCCCCTTTTGTCATCTTCACTGCCTCGCTCTCGCGCCTTGTCCTTGGTTGCTAAGCAGCCCCTCTAGTATATAAGGACCCCCCTAGGCGCTCCCTAGTCCCCATCTCGACCTCTTGGTCATTGGGACTAGGTGAGTGACCATAGTGTTGTATCTCTCTTCGATTGCTAATGTATAACTTGGT